TTTTTTTTTTTTCTTGTGCTGTATGAAGAAAAATGGAAGCTTTTTTTGGCTGATGAATTTGATGTGTCAGGCTGAAAGTTCAGATTTTTATGTAATTTCACTACTTTTCTTTGTATGGCAGATGGTTGACTTTTCATATGTATATGAAGATGAGGTGAATTTCACCCTGCCAGTGTACATACCGGGTTCCAAACCATTGGATCAACACACAGTCGCATGTGTGTGTGTGTGTTTGTTGGTTGATCGGACGGCTCGGGACCCGGCTTGGGCACTAGGGTCAAATTAGCCGCGAAAAATGGTCTTCGTTTCGGTTTATTGTTTAATTGTAAATGCGTCTTTTCGAAAAATAGGAGCTGGTGGATTGGGAGCATAAGAGTAAATCAGATGGTGTAATGCATGGATGTGGGCATGATGCACATACCACAATGCTTCTTGGTGCTGCTAAGTTGCTCAATGAACGAAAGGACAAATTTAAGGTTGATTTTGGTTACTTGTTTACATTGTTGCTCTTAGTTTATTTGCTTTCGCGTCGTTTATCTTGTTGTTTTTCATAAATCAATGAGGTATATTGTTCGATAGACTTGTTTGTGAGATTTATGAAATTTGATTGAGTAGATGAATAGTAGACTACTTGACTTATTGACTGTGGTTCTTGAAATTGACTTGAGTTTTACTTGACTTGTGTTCGCACGCTGGTGATCCAAAAGGTTGATTTGTGCAATTGTGTGATACCGGGAATTTTTTTTCGTAATTTTGTATTCACAACCCATTTGCTTGTGTGGAGAAAAAAGGAGAGAGTTGAGAAAATTATGATGTTGGATTTGTAAAGGACTAATATGTAGTTGAATATATTGGTCAGAACCAATATATGATCGCTTTCTCTGCAAAAATTGCCTTGCTTTGTCATTTCATCATTCAACGCGGTTTACACGTGCATCCACAAGTTAATGAAGTAATATAGGCTATGTATGGTAACCAATGAAGCTATCTTTTATAGCCTATTTGGTTAGCTCTAAGCTTCTTTTGGTAGGACGATTTTTTTTTTTAAAGTTCGGGCCTATCTCATAAGCTTGTTTGGGTAGCTTTTCAAATAAGCTCGATGAAATTTTTATTTCAGCTAGCTTACCAGCTAATTTTACCAAACACTTTTATCTATCTTATCAGCTAATTTTACCCAACATAGCCATAGTACTCGGATGCATTAGAATATGCAGTTCCTGTTAAAAATAAATCCTAATTTTTCTTTTTCTTGATGGTATGATAATCTATTGGTTAATATCATCAAGGGAACTGTAAGGCTTCTATTTCAACCGGCTGAGGAAGGTGGTGCAGGTGCATCATACATGATAAAACAAGGCGCTCTTGGCAAATCGGAGGCTATTTTCGGGATGCACGTCGATTTTCAAGGGCTCACCGGAAGCATAGCTAGTCTTGCGGGGCCCGTTTTAGCCGCGGTAAGCTTTTTCGAGGCCAAAATAATCGGGAAAGGCGGGCATGCGGCTGAACCCCACAATGGGGTCGACCCGATTCTCGCTTCATCGTTTGCAATCTTGGCACTGCAACAGCTCGTCTCACGAGAAGTCGATCCATTCAGTAGTCAAGTATGTATGTATGTATATCTCTATAAACACGTTTTCGTGTGGGTATTTTGGTAACTTCGAAAGTAATAAAATAGATTTCGCCCGAGCAAAAAGGAAAAAGAAAAAAACAAGGATTTGTAATATTTAATGTTTCGAGTTACGAATGTAGGTGCTTTCTGTCACGTATGTCCGAGGTGGGACTGCAGCTAATGTAATCCCGGAGTACGTTGAATTTGGAGGTACTCTCAGGAGTCTTACAACTGAAGGACTGCTTCAACTCCAGAAGAGAGTGAAAGAGGTATATATTGCAGTTCTTGATTCGGTTGTAATTTGTAATTTTGTCGAATATATACAAATGAACCTATGTTCTTTTGATTTCCTTGATCTGAAATTCATAAGCTTGATGCAGGGAACGGCCATTTTTTGTTTTTTGTTTTTTTTTCCCCCCAATTTTCAAGGCTATTTTTGGTAAAAGTTAGCCGATAGCTTATAAGTGATTTTCGAGGTTATAGCTTATGATTTATAGTTGAAAATTTTAGATTATATTAAAAGTGTTCGGTAAAATTAGCTGATAAGCTAGTTTAAATAAAAATTTCAACATCAACATCAACATACCCCGTATAAGCTAGTTTAAATAAAAATTTCAACAAGTTTATTTCAAAAGTTACACAAAGAAGCTTATGAGATAAACTCGAACTTTTAAAAAAGCAAAAGTTCGTCTTACCAAACAAAAATTATTTGAATACATACCAAACATAGCCTAATTATAAGGTTTACCCTAATACCATTCAAAACTAGGTTTAAAATGACATAGGAATATCTATATCTCTATATGTTCTGACTTAACCTCACACATTTTGTGAAATCAGTACAAACTGGACTATTTTTTCTTCTGTAGTTCGAAAATATAACTGGGATTCTTTCATGTTTAACTTTAAAACCTAGTCTTGTGTATATGCATCGATTATTAATAGTCTGCGAAGATAATATAAAATATCTGAGTTTTACCCCTCGATTTTTTGCAGGTCATTGAAGGTCAGGCAAGCGTGCACAGATGCAAAGCGCACGTCAGCATGAAAGAAGACGATTTCCCTCCATATCCAGCGACCGTAAACGATAAAAATCTGCATGAGCACGTGAGGACAGTTGGCAGCCTCCTATTGGGCCCTGATAATGTGAGGGAGGCTAAAAAGGTGATGGCTGGGGAAGACTTTGCCTTTTACCAGCAAGTCATCCCTGGAGTTATGTTCGGCATTGGTATTAGAAACGAGAAAATCGGGGCCATTCATCCTCCCCACTCACCGTATTTTTTTCTGGATGAAAATGCCCTCCCCGTGGGGGCTGCTTTGTACGCGGCTCTTGCCGAGTCTTATCTGATGGGCCGTTCGGACGTTAGTGTCAATATCTAACTTGTGCTTCTAAGGGTCGTCTTCGAAGTTTTGTTACAAGTGGTTTGGATATTTGTTTCTGTTTTACAAATTGCAGGCACCTAGTAGCTCTTTCACTTGATCGAATTTGTCCGCTTATGATTCTAAGCCTAACCAACTTGTGAGCTACTTAAAATTTGATTTTGAAGGACAAATACTCATTTATTTCCACATAAATAATTTTGAAGTAATTTATCATTCAACGGACGTTTATTTTCTAGTTGCAACTCAGTATAAGGTTTTTTTTTTTTTTTTGTTAAGTCAAGATTTATCTTATTGAACTAAAATGAAACAAATAAAAGTTAGACATAGCCAGTCAACGGGCTGGGCTGGCGGGCCTCCCATGGGTGATCCTTAACCGGCCTGCCAAAAACCAAGGGCCGGCCTGTCGAACAGGCCCTGTCTTGATTTGGTCTCGGACTGCTGGGACCAAAAAAAAAAAATAAAAAAATTCGGAAACGACCCGTAAAGTCACGGTGTCGGTTCTTGAAACTGGCAACCTACGGGCCAGTTGCGAGCCGTGCTGGGACCGGGACGATGGGCCTGGCCGGCCCGTGTCCATGTCTAATAAAAGTACTATTCATTTCATCTCATTTATTCACTACAAATCCCACTAACATAATTGCAAATAAAAAAGTATTTATTATTGTATATTATTCAACATAAAAGAAATTATTCATTCTGCTAACATATTTTTAACTCATAATCTTAACAATTAACTTTATCACTATTTCTACATTATAAATTAATTTTTATATCATGTCAACTTCGTGACATTTTTATCTCATTGTCATTCACATTTTCAAAATTTTTCTCACCTTTTTCAAAAATATTTTATTTGCTACCTTTTCATCTAAATTCCTAGACAAAAAAATCGAAAAAATTACGTATCCAATTGCTCATGTTTTCCACTTGTAAAGAATGGAACTACAAGACAATTCAAAACCAATTTTTTTACATATACATTTTATTTTATAATTCATTTACGCAATGAAATTTCGAACGGTAAATGCATTTCGGTGAAAAATCGCACCGAACCGCAAAAAATTGAATTTAGTAAAAAAACTAACCGTACCACACAATAACTTTTGAAAAAACGGAACCGAAATTCTTTTACACTAAAATATCTGAACCGCACCGCACCGAAATGCACGGTTTGGTTCGGTTTTCGGTTTTAGTTCTACATTTCTATACATTTTATTAAATTTGGTGCGGTTAGGTACAAAACCGCACTGAACTGAATAAAACCGAAAACCGAACTTATATAAACGCAATGTAGAAAAAACGAATCGAAATCGAACAAAAAATTTTTACCTAAAAAACACCAAACTAAACCGCACTGAATTGGACGGTTCGCCTCGATTTTTCGAGTTGGGCTCGGTTTTGCTCACCATCATATTTTCCTTAATTATGCCTTTTCTTATTTCTTAATGAGAAAAAATGGAATTATGCAAAACCACAATATAAACATAAGCCAAAAACAGTACATAGTTTAGTTTATCACGAAAAGTACGCTGCACAGTTCTCAATACTTGCTGTCGGATAAGAGAGACGAAGACGCAGACGAACTTCTTGTGGATTTCATCTCTGTTCTCCTTATCTTTCTCAGGTTTGATACATT